TAAATAATATAATAGATAATAATATTAACCAAATAATTAAATATATTAATTAATATCATAAATAAATATGTAAATAATATAATAAATAATAATATTTACTAAATTCATTTGGAAACAATATTTAAATATTAAAGAATATAATTGATATATTTATTAATATTTAATATTATTAAATAATATAGTAAAATTTAATATTTATATAGTAAATAATATTTATAAATTATATACTTGTTTATTAATAGTAATTAATATTATTTAATAATTATCCATTACTAAATATTATTTTAGTAAATAAATATTATTCAATATACTAAATAAATTTTATACATTAATTATTATATTTATTTATTTTGTAAATATTATTATTTATTATATTATTTATTATATATTTTTTGGTAAATATTTATGTAACATAAAAATAAAAATTATTGTACTATTTCATTTATATTTATTTATTTGTAAATATTTATTTAATATATTTTTTGGTTGCTAAATATTTATTATTTATTTTATTATTTAATATATTTATTTAAAATAAAAATAATACTTTAATAATAATATTTAATATTCTTATTTACTAAATTATTATATATATTTATTTTTTATATTATTTAATTTGTATATTTATTTTATCAATAAATTTATTTATCAAATAAGTAATTTAATTATTATATGTATTATTATTTTATATTTCTATTTATATTATTATTATTGTTTATTATTATTATTATTATTATTATTATTATTATTAGATAAAATGATTTTGAATTGTTGTAGATATAACCAATAATTAAATGATTTGCATTGTGGTAGACATAAGTCTGTAGTCAAAATTTTAACGTACTGTCTTGTTGGTCCAACTGGTAAAGGGATCTTTTATGCATGGGAGGTGCTGAGTTCGAATCCCTTTGTGTGCACAATTTTTTTGATAATTTGCACATATTGCGCCACTTCAGCAAAAAAAAAATAAATAAATTATTGACATGTAAGCAGATTTTTTCCACCTAACTGCCACGTCAGCAAAATAAAAAATAAAAAATTAAATGAATTTCCACGTAGGCGTAGCAGGTCACTGTGACCTGCTGTAGGCGGTCAGAGGACCAAAAAACTATTTTTTTTTCAGTTAGAGGACTATTTCCAAAAACGGTCCATTTACGGGACCAAATTCAAAACGGCCTGCAGATAAAGGACCAAAAAACTTTTTTTTCCGTTCATTATCTAGAATCTTAATATTAAATTCTCAAATATTACTTATATATACATCTGTGCATGTGCACAAGATATTTACTAGTATTACTCATCTAAGAAAAAGCCAACCAAAGAAAAAGGGAAAGGAAAGAAAAAACTTCAATGCAAGTACTCGTCCAGAAAGTCACACTTTCAAGAAAGCTAGCACAAACTGGTTTGAACACTAGACTTCATAAGGGTGTATACTGTAATAGCAAACCCTGCACGGTAGCTCCATTCTCTCCATTTCCTCCTTTATGAGGTTGAGATCAGAATCGTATTCTCACCCAAATCGGCACAGAGTACCAACACCTCCAAGTACTTAACCCACCCGACTGGAATTACGGAGACATCCTTACTTGTAGATTCGAATCGTCTCCTGTGTGCCTC